AACCCATGTACATATATATATATATATATATATATATATATATATATATATATTGCGTGCCAAATTATTATCACTGAAATTTTCTTACTGATCTGCGTAATGTAAACAAACTGGCGCCATATTTGTTATCAGCACGGTGATTTGAGCATGCCAAATTATTAGAAAGGTTTAGTAAAATTCCCAGAATCGATCAAATAAAACGTTTAATAATGTTGCACGTGGATGTTTATGATCAAAAGAAGCTAATAAATAAGATAATCAAACAAATAATAACAGATACAAACAAAGGCACAGTTTAAAACAAATTAATAGGGAATGTGCTTTCCCTGTTTTGAAATTACTTGAAGAAGTCGACGATCCATAGAATTTGTTAATTGTAGGATGTCATCTGCTGTAATGCCGCGAGATATGTCAAGAATTGCTTCCCACAACTCAACGTTGCTCCTGATTTGTCGTCCGTTGGCGTACAGTCTTCGCTTCATGATGCTCCAAAGGTTTTCGATTGGGTTCAAATCCGGAGAATTTGCTGTCCACTTCATTTTTCGAGGTCCATCGAAGCCTAACTGTTTCAAATATTCAGCAGCATGTGAGGGAGCATTATCTTGCATAAAAACAATGGCCCTTCTGAAGGCAACTCTTTGCCTTTTCATCCACGGTTCAAGATGCTCCTTCATAAACGCTATGTATGCATCAGCAGTCATTTTGACGCCATCTGGTCCTCTCCATGGGCCGACTAATGTTTTTCCAATAATACCACCCCAGATAATTATGCCTCCACCGCCTTGTTGGCGTCTCAAACGCTGATGGCGATTCTGTCCGTTCATTACCCAGCCTTTGCACCATCTATATGGCCCATCAAGTGTTGCTCGAGTTTTGTCTGTGAACAAAACTTTAGAGAAGTCAATCTTCATATTGTCCTCGGCCCATTTCAATCGATTTTGAATGTTATTTCTCGTCAACGGAGGCTTCGATACAGGTTTGACTGTTGTTGCTATTTCCCTCAGATACCGACACCGAGTACTTTTAGACACAGTAGGATCCCCAATGCGACTGAAAAGCTCTTGACTGGTAAGTCCAGGGTTCTTCGTGGTCTCTCATTTAAGTCGTGACACGAGACGACGTGAAATAACCCTCGGCTTGCCTTTATCTGCCCTTTTGCGTACTTGTTTAGGGTCGGCGGTGAACTTTTTCACTGTTTGATGCCACCTCCCTATCATTTTAGAAATTTCTAGGGTAGATTAACCTTTTAAGAGTTCTGAGGTGATAGTTTTCTTTTCAGCATCACTTCAACTGCTTTTACGGCCCATCTTTTCACTAAATTCTTACACTTTGCTAATAATTTTACACGCTCAAATCACCGTGCTGATAACAAATATGGCGCCAGTTTGTTTACATTGCGCAGATCAGTAAGAAAATTTCAATTGCGCAGGTCAGTGTTGCTAACTTGTGTGAAAATTTTGTGTGAATTGATTGGACGGTTTTGAAATATTAGAAAAAAAGTTATCTCGATAAAAATTTTAGCACGCAGTATATATATATATATATATATATATATATATATATATATATAATATTTTTTCTCACAAGGGAAAAATTCTTGGTCTTACTATGAGATTCATCTAAAAGAATTTCTGCTGTTCAATCATTTGATCAGATTTAGGCAAGTGGGTCTGATCAATAACTTTAACGTCTATTACTTCTTTATACATACATACATACATGCATATATATATATATATATATATATATATATATATATATAACAGCACTTTGAATGCATTGGTAGTTCACCGTAACAAATTGGCCACAATTTCGACAATAAATGCCTGATCTGGAGAGAAAAAGATTTACTAAGAAGAAAATACATAGATAGTGCGCTGATCTCATAGTTTCCGACGATAAACCCAAGACCAGGCTCATACATAATATCACCGATCATCGCGAAAGCAATAGCCACACAATGCGGTTTAGGCTCTAACAGAGAATAATACCGACCTTAATAACAATCAGTCTCGATTAAGAGGTTCTATTAAAGAAAGATTGTACCTCCGACCAGAATCAAGCCTGTATCCTTTTTTTCCATCAGGGAAACACCGCTTCTATAGACGAAACCTGTCGTTACCAATTGGGACACGGTGACTACACTGGCAGAACAATGTTTTGAATTACCTATTTAAGAAACTCACATTATTTGTTAGGATTTCTACGGTTTTATATCCGCGAGCTTCAGTTTCATACCTAAATTGTAAAAACTAATTTTTTTAATGTTTTTTTTTATCCGACTATTACTATAAACGTTTATTTCTGGTAGGCACATGTGTTTAAGTTTCTATGACTGATTTTTATTTTCTTATAGTGAAATTCATAATAACCGGCCTAGATAGAGAAAGTCTTACTAAAGATTGTACCTCTTTTAAAGAAAAATTGATATTTATGTGCTGTTGGAAGTGCACTGCATTTTCTTTTGCTCAGCATTTTCTTGTTTATGCTCAGTGGTTAATGAATATTAAACTAAAGGAAAGTTAAAATAACAATTGGGACTTGTCATATTGATATAAATAATAGCAGTTATATTAAAAGAAACTAATTTCTGATATACAGGCTGTCTACAGTCATTAGATAAATAGAAAAAGTTATTAAAATTACAACGGAAACTAGATACTGTCGAAATGTTCAAATAATATGAAGTAAATAAAGAAGTTTATATAAAGGGTGTTCTAATAATTTGGACCAATTTTAAATGTGAATTAAGTTTAAGCGTCTAATGATTTGATTTCTTTTTCTTTCAGATTTAACAACTTAAGTCTTTGGCAATTTCAACCATAGAAAGATTAACAATCAAACAACGTGTTAAAGTTATCGAAGCCTATTACGAAAATGGACGTTCAAACAGAAATGCAATGAGAAGTTCCTAGGTCACATCATCTCTCGAAATAGCTTAGAGTCAGTTGGCGACCACGATCGTGCGACTTGACGCCTTTAGATTTCTTCCTTTGGGGTCATCTAAAAAGTAAAGTCTATGTCAACAAGCCAACAACAATTCAACAGCTGAAGGATGAGATAATAAGGTATATTGGTGAAATCAAGGAGCAACTATGCAGAGACGTCATCAAGAATTTTGACCATCGAGTGGAGGTGTGCCGCCGAAGCCTTGGGGACATTTGGGCGATATTATTTTTTCACACATAATTGCCATGACTTAAATGACATGATCCAATAGGGAAATAAATAAATTTTCAACAATAACACTGATTTATTTACTGCTGACTTTGATCCAACTTAATGAAACACCCTTATATATAATCCGTCTTAATGAAACACTCTTTACAAATAGTTAATAAATTTCTATATGGGCGCCATTTGTTACAGGAAGGACATCAAAGCGATATTCAATTCTTGAAATTGCAGTCTGAAACATAAAAATAAAACATTAATAAAATTATTAATATGAATAAAAGAACTTTAATAATAACATATAAATATGCAACAAATATTTAGTTGCCACATCTAAGCTTTTCTTAATGGTTTTTAAAAATGTCTAGACATTTTGAACACTCTGCATATGAAGTAATTTGATTTGAAATTGTTATGTGGATTAAGGCAGGTTGATTTTGGAACTGTGGTATTGCCCTCAATTTGAAAGTCGGGGTTTGACATGATAAATAAGAACACAAAATATCATTTTCCAAATCGTAACCGTTTTTTAAGGAAGCGAGTTTGAAGATTAAGTTTTCGTTCAAACTGGTAGGATTGGAATTTCATTCCGGTGATCAGTGAAAGACTTAACAGCAGAGCCTTATAAAATTTATAATTTACTGAAGCTTCAACAAATTGTATATGCACAGGGTACACAGCACAAGCATATTATTACTAAATTATTTTAACATCAAGTAAGACCTTCATTTACTTCAAAGGGAAATTATACTGAACAATTTAGCTATATTAGGACGTAATATTTTGTACAGTTCAGTAGTTTTAGTGAGATTTTCAATAAGCAATGCAAATTTAAAACATTTTGTCTTATAATTTGTGCCCAGTAGTATTATGGTGTCATATACAATTTTATCTATAGTCTGTTTTTATTAATTATGGTCTAACAAACCTTATTCATTGAGTAGACTTTTTGTAATCTTTTACCATTTTTAATACAGTTTTTACTTATGGAATTGTTTGTGGGTGCTTCATAATCAGAATTCTAGTTTGAATATATTTTCCATTCATTGTATCAACCGAAAAACAAGAGAGAAACACAAAGGCAGAGGGACAAACCTTTAGGTTTTATAGATTACGCAAATGCATTTGATAATGTACGACACACACAAAAAAAAATATAAACTTGTAGGAAAATTTGAATCATTTAGGAAAAAAAAGTGTTAGAATAGTTGGAGCAAACCGTCTGCATGCGGATAGAACTAGAGTTGAGTAGGTAGACAAAATTAGAAACAAGCAAATCAAACATAAGTACATTTTCCTCCCGTTGAAGACAAACACAAGTGTAACATTTTGACACCCGTACAAACTAAACATATCTCTATAATTTTGAGTCTCGTGACAACTGTCTTTTAAGTTTCAATGGCTCCAAAACCAAGCTAGTAACGCTACATAACCACAGAGAAGACAGTGAATTTTCTCCTGGTATGATGTATTCTCAATAAAGCTTCGGACTTTGGGAGTCTATTTGGACTCATGTTCACACATGATCTCGTATCTACAATCCATCACTAAAGATGCTAGAAAAATGGTCGGTCCCCTGTACTGCTCCTGAAAGTATCTGACTACATCTGTCATATAAAAGACTCAGACCATACAAGAATTATGGTTGTCATATTAAAGATGATACGAGCCATTGTTATTTACAAAAAGCTTGACTGCCAATGGAGGAACAAAGATGCTACAATTGTCACTAATCGGAAAGAATCTACAGGACTATGGTTTGGCTTACCTTGTTTTATATGCACGAGACATAGTCAATTTTGATTCTTAATAAAAAATGAAAAATCATGCTGCCAGAAGAAAGCAACGCAAAGACAGAAGAACGTATCTTTAGGTTTTATAGTTAATCAAATTATATATATTGTTGAAACTTGACTAACAACACAAAATGTACTGAGAACAAAATGTATTGAAACAAGAAAGTGTACACAATATTTACATATAGTCTTTTGTATATTCTTGGGAAGACCGTTCCTGGAGAATGTGTTGACTTAGTCGCAGTCGGGCAGAGTCTCTGGATTGAATCTCTTGATTCCTCCCCCCGTCCTCCCGGTACCAACCATATTTATATGGTCGGTTCTCCACGATGCAAATTAGGTGGATCCTACCACAATATATATATATATATATATATATATATATATATATATATATATAAGTGATGAAAATTATCAGGAGGATTTGAGATAATCATAATTAATTTATCGAGTCTAGAAGAAACCTCAACAGGATGCAGAAAGCACTGGACGGCCGTTTCGTCCTATATTTGGGACTCATCAGCAGTGCGCATCCACTACCAAGAATTGAAACCCGGGCAGTTATGATATGAGGGACATGTCATACCAAATGTACCAACAGACCTCGGTGACGAAGAGGTAACGAATTAGACTCGATATTGCGCCGCTCGTTCACATATTCCGTGGTGGAACTCATCCAAGTTTCCCTTACCCATAGGACTGTGCCTCCGAGTGCCACGACTACTATCCCCAAGCCGCTCCAATGATGAGTCCCAAATATAGGACGCAACGGCCGTCCAGTACTTTTTGTATTCTTTTGAGGTTTCTTCTAGACTCGATGAATTAATTAATTATAATTATCTCAAATCCTCCTTAATTTCTATCATATATATATATATATATATATATATATATATATATATATATATATATATATATATATATATCAGGTCATCCCATAAGTTCTGTCCGAATTTTAACTTTTTGTTAAAATGAACAAAATTGAAAGAGTATTTTATAATGTCTAATGGAGCTGAACATTATTTGTATGTTTAGATGCATTTAAACTGATCATATTTTATTTCGGAGAACAATAAAATTAAATTTTGTTTGATTTTTAATCAACATGGAAGTACACAAGAATCATTTGAGGCACATAATGCTTTATGATTTCAAGAAAGGAAACTCAGCAGCCGAAGCGGCTAGAAACATTCACTCAGTTTATGGAGAGGAATGTGTGAATGAAAGAACTTGCAGAAGATGGTTTGCAAAATTCAGAGGTGGAGATTTCACCCTTGAAGATGAAGATCGAACCGGATTTCCAGTTGAGTTTGATGAAAAGCTTCTTGAAGCAGCCCTTGAAAAAAAAAATCCTGCTTTATCAGTTGAGCAATTGGCAGTGGTTCACAGTTCAAACCATACAACCGTTCATCGTTATCTTCAACAACTTGGAAAAGTTCCTAAACTTGGAAAATGGATGCCTCATGAATTGTCTGAAAACAACCTCAAATCCCGAGTTGACATCTGCTCTTCTCTCCATTCTCGCCAACTTGTTTCATCTTTTTTGGATAGACTTGTGACTGTCGACGAAAAATGGATCTTTTATCGAAATGTTAAGCGTCGTAGACAGTGGCTTGGTAAAGGGGAAGGACCCCAGCCACAGCCGAGAAGGGAACTTCATGGGAAAAATGCCCTTCTTTCAATCTGGTGGGATTGCCAAGGAATAATCCACTTTGAATTCTTACCACCTAATGCAACAATTAATGCTCAAATATACTGTCAGCAATTAGAGCGTTTGAACCAAGCTTTGAGGAAAAAAAGACCTACTCTAGTGAATCGAAAACACAGTAAGAATCACGTCACAAAAGATCGAAGAACTTGGTTGGGAGAAAATTCCTCATCCACCTTATTGTCCCTATCTTGCTCCTTCAGACTACCATTTGTTTCGTAACTTACAGAATCATTTGGAAGAAACAGCTTTTGTAACACAGGAAGAGGTTAAAACTGACATTTGTGAGTTCTTCGAATCAAAGCCAAAATAATTTTACGGTAATGGAATTAGTAAGCTTGTTAATAGATGGAAGGAAGTCATAGATCATCAGTGAAAATACATTGTTGATTGAATCTGTAATTAAATGTAACATTTGGTCACTTGTTTTCTTTATTCAAAATTCGGACAGAACTTATGGGATGACCTGATATATAAATATATACAGGGTGTCCATAAAGTTTGTCACCTTATTTATTGAATGACCCTCGTATATATTGAAATGATTTACCTAAAGATGGAGAATGCACAACCAGCTGACATTCCAAAAGGTTGAAGAAGCAAAGGACTGACATTGGGGAGAGGGGGGAGGAGAAGGAAGAGGAGGAGGAGGATTTTGCGTATTTGTTTTTCTTTTGTTTTCTGCTGAATGAAAATATAAAGGCTATGTACCTCCAACAGTCACTCTCTCTCTCTCTCTCTCTCTCTCTCTCTCTCTCTCTCTCTCTCTCTCTCTCTCTCTCTCTCTCTCTCTCTCTCTCTCTCTTCCTTTCTCTCTCTTTCGCTCTCACTTTCGCTCTCTCATTCTCTCACTCCGTTTCTCCACCACTGTTTCTTTCTGCTCACTCTCTTTCTCCTCTCACTCTTTTTCTTTCTTTCTCTCTCTTTCTCTTTTTCTCTCTCTCTCTCTGTCTCTCTCCCTCTCTCTCTGTTCCTCTCACGCGCGCGCGATGTCTCTCTTTCCTCTGTTTATCGCCCGTTCTCATTCTCTCTCTCTTTTTCTCTCTCTTACTCTTTCTCTCTCTCTCTCTCTCTCTACTCATTATCTTTTCGTCTTTCGTTCGTTCTCTCTCCTTCTCTTTCTTTAGCTCTCTCTGACTCTCGCTCTTTCTCTTTGTCTCTCTCTCTCTCTCTCTCTCTCTCTCTCTCTCTCTCTCTCTCTCTGTGTGTGTGTGTGTGTGTGTGGCTCTGTTTTCCTTTCTTCCTCTCTTTGTTTCTTGCTTTCCCCCTTTCTCTTCCTTTCTCACTTTTTCTCTATCTCTATTTCTCCCCAAACTCACTCCTTCAGTCTCTATCGGTATCTCTTTCTCACTCGCTATCTTTCTTTCTTTCTCTCGGCCTCGCTTTCGTTTTCTCTCCTGCGCCCTCTCTCTTACCTCCTCGCTCTCTTGCAAATACATGGACGCATTCTCGAGAAAAAACAAAAACAAAAACGTTAAGTCATACGAATCACATAGGTGTACCGTCTTCCCTCTCTTTCCCACCACCACCACCCTCCCCTTACAATCCAACGTATGTCCCAATCTCTTGTTAAATTATTACTACGTATGAGCAGCTGTGTGTGTCATGATACAACAGGCGACGAACAGACAGTGTTTGTTTGTTTAAGTTTATATTGTTTCACTTCCAACAGTTGGGAATCGAAAATGATGACACAGCTTGACCCTCTCTCTCTTTCTCTTTCTATCTCTCTCTCTCTCTCTCTCTCTCTCTCTCTGTGTCTTTCTATCTCTCTATCTTTCTCTCTCCCTCTCTCTCTCTCTCTCTCTCTTGCGTTTTCGTTCTCTCTGCAAACATTGTATCTTAATGAAGGAACCCAACCCTTTCTTTTCCTTCTTCTCGTCATCCAATCATTCAAGTCAAACAATAAAATCACCTTGTGTTTGATTAATAATAATCTTCATCTTCTCTCTCTCTCTCTCTCTCTCTCTCTATATATATATATATATATATATATATATATATATATATACTTTCTAACTTATTACCTATACGAGTTCGTTAACCATCACTTTTCTGTCGAAAGGAATCAACACTGGTTCATAGCTGAGATGGTTCTTCTATACGTCGTGTCTCTTTACAAATCTTAGCGATCATGGCTCTCCACATTTTCCTGTCCCTTGTAGCTCTTAATAATTTTGTCTTTTTATTAACTCTCCTAAACCTGGTTTCGCCATCCATTTATTCAGGCTTCTTCTTTTTCTTTCTCACGTGTCTCTTCAGGACATTGGTGATCATGGCTCTCCACAACTTCCTGTCTTTTATAGTTCTTAATAATTTTGTCTTTTTGTTATCTTTCCTAAACCTTATGTTGTCATCCATTTACTCAAGTTCCTTCCTCTTCAATATGCCGTGTCCCTTCAGGACGTTGGTGATCATGGCCCTCCACAATTTTCTGTCCTTTGTAGCTTTTAATATTTTTTTTGTTATCTCCTCTAAACCTTCCTCCGGCTCCTATTTGCCCAGCTCCTCCTTCTTTTTCTTCTTCTTTGTCCCGTGTCTCTTCAGGACATTAGCGATCATGGCTCTCCACAACTTCCTGTCCTCCGTAGCTCTTGATAATGTTGTCTTTTTGTTATTTCTCCTAAACCTTGTTACTCCGTCCATTTACTCATTTTTGTTACATAGATTATGCCTTGTTTTCTTTTGTCCCTCTTGAGTGACAGTCAAATTTTCCGAGCCCTATTACCTTCTTATTTGCTTTAGCTCATATATTCCGTACAGGGCATTCTCAGCATCCTTCTGTAGAACCACATTTCTATTGCTTTAAATTTCTCCTTCATCTGTAAGGAAATTGTTCAGCATTCACTGAAGATTGATATTACGAAGCAGTTCGACACTCTTTGCTTTGTTTCTTACAAAATTTACCTGTTAATTGATAGTTTGTTTAGCTTTTGGAAGGCATCTTTTTTTATTCCAATGCACCTTGAGACTTCTGTGTCTCAAGCTAAACATGGGAAAATCAGGACAAAAACAAATGCATTATTCTCATAGTGCACACACACACACACACACACACATAACAAAATAAAGCGGCTCCAAAAGAAACACACTTGAAAAGAGGGGACCAAATACTGTAATGGTAGAGCAAATTATATAAATCATAATTTACTCGTCCGTGTTGATCCTACTACGACTGTCAGTTTCCTGCTTGGCAGTCGCGCATTCATGATAGTTGTATTCATTCAGACTGACAACGAGAAAATTTATATATATATATATATATATATATATATATATATACAGAGAGAGAGAGAGAGACAAATCTCTCATCTACGGATGCCCCACTCCATCAACGGACTTCGGATGCAACGGACAAAATCTGCAGGCAATTTTTTTTAAAAATCCACAGGAAAAAAAACTTCCAAATCGTCAGCGATGTATTTCAAAATTTGTGGGCTTAGCGGAACGAGTCGTATTAGTTCTCAACGTGACCGCTTGGCGGCGGTTGCGGCGGTGGCGACCCTTTCTGTTGTAAACAAAGACGGGTGTACAGTATATAAAGTACGGTATATTAGCGAGTGCGTGAGAAAGTAGCTGTGAGGAATCTATTATCTATGTTGTTATTTTAATTAATATATCTATTATGTATTTATTTATGCCATATATACATGTTTATAGTTTATGATCCTAACTGTGTTTATGTTTACGATCACAACTACTGGTAGTTACTACATTTGTTTTATTACTCAAAAATAAACCCTTCCCATCTACAAAAATATCGGCTTTAACGGACCACCCATCCCCCTATTAGTCCGTTGATGAGAGGTTTGTTTGTATATATATATAATCAATGTATATTTTGGTAGCAACCGTTCTGTCAAAGATTTTTCAATAAATACAGCAGACAAGGAAGATTAAATTAATTTTTTGTTAGTGTTTTCCAGCATCATAAACATTTTTCTTTTATGCAAGAGCCAAGAAATATAAAAATTGCCCACAAGTGCTTTGGGCCACTTCTATAACCATTTTTAAGGGTGTTTTGTCTATAGTGTTGCTATTTTTCTTTGTCTTGACTGTCACAGTGTAAATAATCCTCTACCTAGAGTGTCTTTTATTGCGATATATTAATATATATATATATATATATATATATATATATATATATATATATATATATATAGTGGACTCTCCCGTCGTATTCGACGTATGAGGGTCAGGCCACACAGTTCCTAAGAATGGACAGTCCAAACACCAGCGCTTATGATTTGATTTTAGTGGTGAAGGCTTTGTGCAGAACCATCCACACATTTTGAAGGGCTGAATACAGAGACCTGGTGCACTAAGTGCCAGAAGTTCCCCGAACGACCCTCCGCGGGTTTTGAATTCAGAATTGTCCTTCTCCTAGACCAGTTGCCATCCAAGTCTGATTCATACCTTTCCCAAGGGTATTAGCACGTAAGTGAATGTAATAGGTATATATATATATATATATATAAAGGGAGCGATGGATAAATTGACGTATAAAATAAAAATAATACTGACATCTCATTTTAATTGATATAGTTACCAAAATTATATTTTAACAGATTTTTTTTCTACCAAAATTACACAAAATCTCTTGAAAAGAGTAAAATGGCTTAAACCACCATCATTAGTGATCACTCCAAAAACCATGATGTTGACTGGATATATCATCCAACTCTTTCCGAATCCTCTGCACTGTCCTCAGATTGACATCCAAACATTCTGAAGTCTTCGTATCAGAGCTTCCGGTGCGAATGCCAAGCAGTACAGCATGTTGTTTCCAAATTTTTGGCTGAGTGAATTGCGTCATGGTGTTCCTTTTCTCACAGACAGTGCCCAACTAACACTACTATACTAAAATCAAAAACAAACACGCATGCGCGAAATTAAAAATATAAAATGGCGTAAATTTACTACTTTTCGTGTGTGTGCATATATATATATATATATATATATATATATATATATATATATATATATATATATTGTTTATACGTTATTTTTATAGATACAAATATTTAAGTAAATGCTCTGTTCATAATAAACAGTATTAACAACGTTTATCCGAGAAATCTCAAAAAAAATATGTGTCCTCCGTCTTTGCTAACCAGACGCTTTCTCTGTAGCTAAATGGTATTGCACGGCAGGCTATATGGCGGTTCTGTGTTGAATACAGGTTCGATTCCTGTCGAAAAATAATGTATAACCAGTATGTATATATATATATATATATATATATATATATATATATATATATATATATATATATATAGAGAGAGAGAGAGAGAGAGATTCCATGGAATTAATGGTTTTTATTTTCTAGTCCTACAGTACTTCTGAATATTCTAAACATTATTTTTACTGGACCCACGTGTTTGAATAGACTCCTTTCCGACTCTATACTTCCCTGCCAATTTTAATCTCCAAAAGTGTAAATGCGATGCCAATCGATATTCACTGTCCTCCTGATTACTCTTTTCTCTTTCTGATCATTACTGTTTCTGTTCCTAATTCTTCCGTGCCCAGTAATCTTTTCTGTCTTAGTGGCTTGATTCCCTTTCCTGGAGTGAAATCGATTTTTTTAAAAAAAAAAAAAAGGTGTACACTTGGATGCGTGAATTGCTGCAATGTTTGGGTGCCTCACGATTTAAACGAAAACATTTAACAGGTCGCATTTTCATCTACAATTCTCTGCCTGAACCCAGCAAAACTGACCCATTTTTGAAAAGAACGATCATAGGCGATGAAGAGTGAATTCTTTACAACAACGTAATGGGCAAGAAATCTTGGTAGAAAGAAATTGGGCCACTAGTAGCCACTTCAAAATGCGATCTGATATCCAAAATTGACGCTTTGTATTTGGTGGGACTTGAAGGACATTGCGCATTGTCTTTATGTAAGGAATCTTTGGAAGAATTTTCTCAATTATCAACTCCATGAAGGACATTTATAAAGGCTACTCTTGTAAAGCACATATGATCAATGCTGGCGTCCCATAAGGCTCTCTTCTACCCTCTTTCTGCTTTATATTAACGATCTGCCTAAGATCATAAGTAAATATTTCTACAGATGATTCCACGGTTTATGGGTGCACCTCCAAATTTCAAGATGACCAGTGCCTAGCAGATGATCTTTCCGCTGATCTAGCACACAAAGCTCAATGGTGAGAAAGACTGGCTTGTATCACATAACACCTCCAAAACAAAGCTAGTCACGTTTCAACACCACCGAGCAGACTCCAAATTTACTCCAGTCCTGATGGGCGCTTGTACTCACAATGAAGCTCTTTGCCTCGAACTTCTTTGGGTACTAAGGCTCATCCCAGACCTGAAATGGAACTCGCATATTCGTACCATAGCTAAAGATGCTGGAGAAATGGTTGGTTCTTTGTACCGCGCCAGAAAGTACCTAACTCTTCCTGAGAGGCTCCATCTTTACAAGAGTAAGATCAGACCAAAAGTATTGCTGCCATGTCGATTATGGAGCTGCCCAAATCTCACTTTCCGGCCTTCACAGGTTTCGAAATCGTTTTGTGCAGCCTTCTGACTGATGAATGATTTTCCACCCTGAAACCTCTTTCCCCACAGACAAAACGTTGCTAGCCCCTCGCTACTCTATCGCCATTTCCATGACAAATGTCCTGACAAGCTACATTCCTTAGTTCCCTCAGTTCAGACCTTTACACCTAAGACTCCTGCTAGACTATCGCTATTTCCATGGCAGATGTTCTGAAGAGCTACATTTCTGAGTTTCACCAGTTCAGACCTTCACAGCTGGGACCAGTCACAACACGTACACAAGGTCAACACGTACTCATTCCCTTCATATTCCATTTGTAAGGAGGAAGTTACACTCCGATAGTTTCGACCCCACAACTATACCCGACAGGATAGTTCGCTTCAAGTCGAGGTCCAACCTTTATCTATTCTATATATCAGTGTAATATGCACTTCTTATTCCCTCTCTTTACTCTCTTGCAACAACCTATTTCAGTAAGCTTCTAACTTGAGTGACTCTTGAGTCCTGTATTCGGTGAACAATAGTATACAATTTTTTTTACGCGTTTCCTTTGAGTCAACTGAGCAATGTAATTCATAAATGGTATTGACAAGATGTCAGGACATTTAGTCGCCAGTCGACAGAACATTTTGCTTCAAATGTCTACGATTTATTACTGATTTTTACAGTAATTGTGGTTAGTGATTTTTCTAAGCATAGCTTAGACGTGGCACACGGCCGAAAGTGTGGAGCACCCAGTGAGGATCGAAATCACTACTCAGTCTTAGCGAGACAAGCTTGCTTACCATTACACCACGTTGAGGTGCCCTAAAATGATTTTCTAAGCGTGGCTTAGACGTGGCTTACGTCCGAAAGTGTGAAGCACCCAGTGAGGATCGAAATCACATTCAGTCGTAATAGATCTGGCGAGGCAAGTTTGTTAACCATTACACCACACCGAGATGCCTAAATGATTTTCTAAGCACAGCTTAGATGTGGCACACGGCCAAAAGTGTAGAGCACCCAGCGAGAATCGAACTCACTATTCAGTCGTAATAGATCTAGCGAGGGAAGCTCGTTAACCATTACACCACGTCGAAGTGCCCAATTTGTGTCTGGTGCAACTTGTTTATTTATTTCTATCCACTCTTACCGCAGGCTTCAAGACGTGGCTCTGAACCGACAAATATTTTATCACAATGGGAAGTCAGTTACAGTGGAAGTAAACTTCTTCTATGTGTCGTCTCACTTCAAGTCCTAGCTCTCCATAACTTCCTATTCTTTGTTACTCTTAACAATCTTTGTATTTTTACTATTCCTCCCACTCCTTGTTCTAATATATATTTACACAAACTCGTTCACTATGTGACTCCTTGTTTCTCTCTGTCTCACTTGCCTACAATATGCCCTGTGAGTTTTAATTTTCCAAGCCTTCTTTCCACATTATTATATATCCCAGAAATATCTGTTTCCATTTTCCTTAAAACTTCCTTATTTTGTCTATTGTATTCTCAGCATCCTTTTGTAGCACCGCATTTCTTATGCCTCAAGTCTTCTCTTCATATTTGTATTAATAATTTCACCCCAATAAAGGCGATAATGCCACTAAGACGCAAGATACCTTGAAAAAAGCCACTGCTTATGAAAAACTACAGACAAGTTCGGCTCAACTATGCCATATTAATAAAGTAGAATCGTTCTCACAAAAGGTTTTTATAGTTGAATGAGACTAATTTAGAGCCTTTTTTTGAGGGGGGGGGCGATGGGTGGTATGTCTGGGGAGCCTCTAAAGTGTTTTTTGAAGATAAGAATTTGGTTAAACATGCACGGCCTGGAAGCTTATGTCCGCGAACATCTTCCGCTGGCTAGTGTACTCTCCCTTGAATCTCCAGACCATTCTTACATGTATCCGCCCTCTCTCTCTCTCTCTCTCTCTCTCTCTCTCTCTTTCTCTCTCTCTCTCTCTTTCTCTCCATCTCTCCCTCTTCTACCTTCTCGCTCCCTCTCACTTCCTCCCTCCCTCTATGTCTCTTTCTCTCCCTCCCTCCATCTCTCTCTCCCTCTCTCTCCCTCCCTCTCTCTCCCTCTCTCCCCCTCTTTCTCCCTCTCTCCCTCCCTTTCTCCCTCTCTCTCTCTTTTTCTGAGACGAAATCTGAACGATGCTGGTCTTCATGACAGAATACGCTTAAAAAAAAAGCCACTCCTGCAAACAAGCTCGGTTCAATTATGCCATATTAATGTTTTTCGGGGTGGGGGGGTTATAGTCGGATGAAACTGATGAGAGGGAAATAGAATGAGAAGATTTTAGTGAAAAGAAAGGACAAAAAAAAAAAAAACAGGTTTCACAAAGACAGAAAATGGCGCTGCATTTAAATTTTTGAAGATTTGAAAATTTTGGTGACAAGGAAACAAGAAACCGGAAGAGAGTTTTACAGACGAGAAAAGAAAATCTTAGAATAGAAAATGAAGTTACAACCAAGTTCGTTTTGGTAATTTCTTAAGCGTAGCTTAGAATTTGGCACAACGCCGAAAGTATGAGACACCCAGTGAGGATCAAACTCACTACTCAGTCGTAATAGTTCTAGCGAGACAAGCTTGCTAAGCAGTACACCACGTCCAGATGCCCCATATATATCGTTATATCGTTAAGTTATTTTGCATTTCCCTCTTGCATTAGGTATGCCTCGTGAGTGTTAAAATCTCCAAGCGGTCTTTCTTTATTAAATGTCCCAGAAATTTAAATTGTCAATTTCTGATTCTAATTATTAGTGCCTTTTTGTCTTTTTTACATTTCACTTAAAACTTTCCCTTTGCTCACATGTCTCATCCATGGCATTCTCAGCATCCTCCTGTAGAACCACATCTTTGTTACCTCGAGTCTTCTCTTTTTAATCATTTCACCCGAAGCAAGGCGATAATGCCACTAAGACGCAAAGGGTTACTGGGAATGAAAGTGCAGAAAACTGAGGAGAAAGGACAATTACAAGGAAGCGTTTCAGGAAGACAGTGGGAAATTGTCCAGCATCTCCTTGGGACTTCGACTAAATGAATTTAAGCGTACTACTAGATTGGCAATTAGGTTTTTTATCGTTTTACTGTTGATATAACAAGATGTAACCGTATTTTCTATTTTAATAGTTTCTTTTCTCGCTTCTGGAACTCTGTCAGTTTCCTTGCCACCCACAATTTTCCAAAATTTAAATGCAACGCCAGTCGCCATTTTTTGTCTTCCTGAAACCCGTTCTTTTATTCTCCTATCTTCTCACTAAAGTTTTCTCATTTTCTTTCCTCCCTCCCCCACAAGTAAACCCTTACGTCTTAGTGGCCTTATCGCCTTGCTTGAAGTGTAATGTTTAAAACATAAACTTGCTCACAGTAAAATTGATATTGCGTAGCAGCTGAGAAAACTTTTCTCTGTTTACTTTGCCGCTCTTTTGAATCGCCCTGATCCGAGAGAATTCCGTGAGTCTTTTCCTTTTCTTCCCTCACCCCCATACAAGTAAACCCTTGCATCTTAGTGGCCTTATCGCCTTGTGTGTAATTTTTAAAAGATAAACTTGCTCACAGTAGGATTGATATTGCGTAGCAGTTGAGCAAACTTTTCTCTGTTTACTTTGCCGCTCTTTTGAATCGCCCTGATCCGAGAGAATTCCGTGAGTCTTTTCCTTTTCTTCCCTCACCCCCATACAAGTAAACCCTTGATTCTTAGTGGCCTTATCGCCTTGTGTGTAATTTTTAAAACATAAACTTGCTCACAGTAGGATTGATATTGCGTAGCAGTTGAGCAAACTTTTCTTTGTTTACTTTGCTGCATTTTTGAATCGCCCTGATCCGAAACAATTCCGTTAGACATTTTTTTCCGCGGCGAAACGAAATTCTTTGCACAAGGAAAGTTCTGCCCTCCCTAGACGCGGTTTTCTTACTGTCGTCCCACTCGTGTTAGCAAGATGAGTTGTCCCGCTCCAAGATGTCCGTTCTGCCCAGGTGGATTTTCTCACTTTATTTACTAAGGTTATTTGCTTTACATAAAAACATAACGTAAAAGCTGACGGCAGCATTGTTGTTTTCCGTCAGTTGTAGACAGTAACAAAAAAAAAAAGCAAGTAATGTTTTCTTTTTTCCCTCACAACATACATTACAATCTAGAAATGCAATGGTCAGTAAAATATTCGTCCGGGAAGTATTCGTCCTCGGTACGTTGATTCGCCGGTCAATTTGCTATAAGGTCAATTTGTCGAAAGGACAATTTGTCTCCAGTTATCTGTGGTAATTGGTTTATACTTGTTGATTCGAACTATACTCGTTAGATCAACATGGACACCTGCAAGCTCACTATTTTAGAGAAATAAAGAAATTTATAAAGGCAATTATATATACAAGGAATGCCGATGAATATTTCACTGTTTACCTATTTTCATTTTCTGACGAATTTTAATTTTTAATTTAATATATAAATTAGTTATTTAAAAAATTATTTTATCCCCATTTCCACTCAGAAACGTCGAAATAATAAAATATATATATATATTTGCTGATACCCTGTATCATCGTCACTTGACCCTTCCTGTTATTCAAAGAGCCTTATGGATAAGGGTTTTAATTAAATTTAATTAAATTAATTTTACGTTTCATGGGACAAAAAGAATCCCAACGGGTATATGAACCAGTAAACGTCGGTTTACGACAAACAGAAGTAACAGAACTCGACGAAGATCTGTTAACCAAAAACATCAAGAAAGGGAAAAGACGAATCAACTACCTTTTTTTTTTGTGTGTAAATTTTAAAGCTGAATGCATATTATTAAGGGACACGAGAAATTGGTCCGTTTCAATCTCGTTATCGGAGAGAGAAAAAAAGTGTCATCAACGTAACGGAAATAATCGTCAGGTTTATTAGGTCTTAATAACATACTCACTTCCTGGAAGCCAACAAAGATATTTGCTAAAATGGGTCCCAAAGGGGAACCCATCGAAACACCATGAACTTGCCTGTACATGACGCCGTCAAAACTAAATTCGACTGACATCGTGGCAAATTTCATCAGTTCGACGAAAAGGTCCTCCGGAATAACAGGAGACAGCTGACCATGATATAGGGCATCAGCACATATATCGATAGTCACAGCGACTGGAATGCAGGTAAATAGACTGGAGATGTCGTAGGAACACATAAATTTATCCATCAACGAATAACGCTGCATAAAATCAGAGAATTCGAACGAATCTTTAATACAAGCAGAGTTATATTGTTCCAAAACTGGCTGCAATATGTTAGAAAGCCATTTAGCTACGCCATGTTAGGAAGACTCTATCATAGAAAAAATTCATTTACAGTTTAATTTTATTGATTTTAATGCATTTATTCTTATTTTCATGGGCCGTGTTCCTTGAGGACGTAGGCTATTATGGCTCAGCACATCTCCTGTCCCCTTTAGCTTTTAACCTTCAGCACTCTGCATAATTAATATTACTTCCCTTTCCACTGCATCGTTTTTCAAGACCACAGAAAACTTATTGTTAATTTGACTCAGAAGTGTTTCCTGTGGCCATAGCAGGATATGACAACACAACTATGAAATTCAAGGATCAGTGACCTTCAGTTGCAAGGTAAACTTTCTACACAGTAAATGGCGTTACATACAGAGCGATAAAGGTTAATAAAATTTGTCTTTTTGTTATTTCTCCATGTTCCGTCATCCATTTATTCAAGCTCATCAAGTATGTTACATGCTGATTTCCTACGTCCCTCAATCTGTTCTGTGGGTATCAGATTTTCCAAGCCCTCCTTCCTCATCATGTGCCCCAGAAATATCAACTACCTCCTCCTGATGTTAAGTATACGTTTCCTTTTTCTGTCATTTTTTTTTTTTAGATGAGGTATTGTAATAATTTACATTATTTAATTTGTTCGGGCTGTTGTCTTTATCTTTATTGTCATGTTCACGACGTTTCGGTCATTGTACACTCCAGTCTTCTTCAGGTGATTGGAATTTCAAACTGAATTTCATGGTCTGGATTAGGATTACTTTTTTGGTTCTCCTGTGGGCAAATGCTATCGGGTTGTTGTTTTTACCCAGCTCATCCCACAAACTCTCAGGATTGTGGCAGAAACTCAAGGAAATCTCTCTTGACAGATTCTTCAATCTGTTGGCGGTTTGTCATAGGATATAAGTTTGCAGAGGAAGAGACAAAGTCGGAGTTTATAGAGGCTCGATAATCAAACTCCGGGGCAGACTTGGATTTCGGCATTGACGGGCGTGGTACGTTCAGCATTGACGATTGCAAGGGTGACATGGGAGAGCCACCTGATTTACATTCTGGTGATTGTTTGTATAATGTGTTGAAGAAAGGTTGAAGTTCTGTTAGAGAGCGAATGTGTGTCATATTGAGCAAAGGCTGACCGGGTATTTTTCTCAAACTTGGGATCTCTCCTTGAATCTGAAGGAGACAAAAAAACATACATTTTAATGCACACAATCAAGTTGCAATTATTTCAGTTAGAAAACTAAACAGCATAAAACAATCATTCACTATCAAAAAAATAGCCGTGAATATTTCAGTTTTCCTATTCTCGTTTTCTGATGAATCATATTTCTTAATTTAATGACTGAATAAGCTCCTTGCGAGTTCCACAGCTATAGGATACCATTTGAAATTCCTCTGTTGGATTGTTAAACATTTGAACTGAGCAACAAAATATTGCAATAACAATCATGAGGATCAATGCAGGTTATTATTTAAAGAAGTAAGAGGGTACAAATGAAACAATTCAAAATTCACACTGATCAGACAGTAAACGTATGAGTGGGTTATCGCTTTCTCTTTCTTCCTTTCTTACATACTATAATTTTGTTTTTTCACTAAAATCAAACAGCATCTCTTATATATCTTTTTCTTCTGTCTTTCCTCGCAACCTATACAGAATGGTCCATTATTTATCTGAGGCAATGGCAGGGTGTGAAATAAGTAGGTAGCCATCACAAAACATGTTTATATATATATATATATATATATATATATATATATATATATATATATATATAATATTATTAGTGGTCAATATATATATATATTTCCAAGAGGGTAAAATCCAGGTAGAGATCTATGTACAAGAAAGAGCAAGAATATATTATAAAAGGCTCAA